TTTATTTTTTTTATTTTTTTTTAAATTTAACATTTATCCATTTTTTATTTTACTATTTCTTTTTTTTTTCTTTTGAAATTTAATATTTTCTTCATCTTAACTTATTTTATCTCTCTCTTTTAACAACTTTTATTTTTATCTTTTATTATTTTATTTTCCAAATTTAATTTTCTTTTTCTCTCTCTTTTTGATTTATTTAATATTTATCTTTCAATCTAATATTTTTGACTTTTTAGGGGCAATTGTAATCGATCAAATGTAAGTAGTTCGGATCGAATCTTTAAATTTCAATTTAACTTTTAGTTTTTGCAATTAAGACAACCGTGAAATTAAATTGGTACTGAAAGGGCAGGGCAAGGGTGCTAATCCTTCATTGACTGTAATTGACTCCTGAACCCGACATATTTCTGGTAAAACACAGATAATGTAAAATTGTCAATTAAGGTATCCGGTCAACCTAATAACTGGTTTCTGCTCCATCACATTGAAATTAAGTCGGAACCCGATTTCGGGCCCACTCGAGGGACGGTTACGACATGTATATAAATGCTCAATAATTAATGTACTACGCCAATTCTCCATATTTACCCCCTACAGGATGCCCAAGACATCTAGGCTGTTAACGAGACTGTTGAGCATTACCCTCGCCCCCTAGTTGCTCACACCTCTGCCCCCACATTGAAGAATAAAGTTGATCCTGGTAAAGAGAACTCCCACTGATCCTCTGATAATCACAAGACAAAGAGCAAAGCTCCGATTATGCTATGCAAATAGCCTGTGGTAGTTTTGGGTGCTCGTAATTTAAATGTTACTACTCCACATGGCCCGGTAAGCAACATGCTAGCTCAATTCTCTTTGCCAGATCGAACAATCAAAGACCTTCTTCAACCCTTCCAAACACGCTAAAGTTGTCATGGCTGTTGATGATGCTCCGCTTGCGGGTTCACTTTCTGTTCATTAACAGAAGATGGCCGTGAATGAGAGCAATGCCCCTATTGTCGCACAACAGCCTCCGGATATCATGTCTGATATTCCTGATTATATTGAAATGGAATAGACTGACCACCCTTCAGCTCTCATTTTATTGGCGCAGGAAATTGATTTGGCCCCCGATCACATATCTAATGGTCCCACAACCATGGTTGAATGATTTCTAGCCCCTCGGCTCCTTTGTTTCATCTATGTTTTTTTTTTTTTTTTGGATTTAAAGTCTTTCGTTTGGAATGTGCAAGGTTGTGGTAGCATGAATTTATTACATGCTACACGTTCGTATCTCTGCGATCATCATCCTGATATCTGTGTTTTTGTGGAGCCATATTAGTAGAGTTCAAGCTGATCAAATCATTAGTGCTCTGGGTTTTCCAAACTCTCATAGGGTTGAAGCAGTTGATTTCTCCAGTGGGATATGACTATGTTGGTACGATCATATCCACATGGATATTTTATTCTCCACTTTCAGTTCATTCACTGTCGAATCTTGGATAAGAGACACTGGGCTACGATTTTTTTTTGTCTACTTTCATTCATGCCAGTTCGTTCTCCACATTTCGAAAACTTCTCTGGTCTTTCTTGGAATCCATTGCGACTATACTTTTTTATCCTTGGATGCGTATTGGTGATTTTAATGCTACTCTCTATCATGATGATTGCAGGGGTTGTGCTCTTTCTTCGTCAACAAATTCTGATTTTCAAAACATGGTTTATCTCTATGATTTACAACATATTGGGTATCACGGACCTAGCTTCACTTGGTACCGTGGCAACTATTCTGTCTGGCTTGATCGAATTCTTGGTAATTACTTACGGTTTGAGGCTTTCTCATCCTCCTCTCTTCAGCACTTGATTCATATGATGTCGGATCACAGGCTTACCCTTCGATCTGTTTCAGCTTCTTCCACTAGACTTAATGCAAAGAGGTTCAGATATCTTTCTAGTTTGTCACTTCATTATGATTTTAAGCAATTCGTCAAATCTCATTGGGATGCTTCTCTTTCCCTTGCAGCCACTTTGATCAGATTCACTGAAGCAGTAATAATTTGGAATAAGGAGGTTTTTGGTTCCATTGGGCGAAACAAAAAGATTCTCATGGCTCGGCTTAAAGGAGTTCAAAGGCAGCTTGACCAATGTCTCTCTCGTCACCTTGTAGATCCCGAAGCCAAACTTCTGCTTGATCTAGAAAATATTATTGACCAAGATGAGAAATTGTAGATTCAAAAGTCTAGAGCTGACTGGATATCTTTTGATGAACACAATACAAAATGTTTCCACTCCAAGACCACTCTTTGTCACCGTCATAACTTGATCTGTTGCCTTAAAAATCGAAGTGATGGTTGGTGTGATGATGAGTCTACTCTGTGAAATGAAGCTGCTTTTATTTTGCTCGTATGACGCGCCTCCACCAGGAACTTATCCCATTTCAAGCGTTTTCTCTCCTTTGCCGAACAGGGTCTCTTCGGTGTTAACCTCTCCTCTAGAGGAAGAGAAAATCAAGGTCGCTTTGTTTGAAATAGGTCATCTGAAAGCACCTGATTTTGATGGATTACATGCATACTTTTTCTAGAGCAATTGGCACATTGTCAAGCCCTTCTTGGAATGGTAGATGGATGGTTCGTCGATCGGCTCTTCAACGATCCTTGAAACTGAAAAGAGGGGAAGTTTGTGAAGTATTCAACTTGTTTGGCTTCATGGATTCGAAAAATTAATCGTCCAAAGTGACATTTTCACCACCTTCATATTCAGTCCTTTTGTTGTTGTTCGAGCCATTGCCGTCTCTTTGACAGAGCCTGATTCGTACAATTCTAAAAAATGTACAGGGAAGCTAATGCGGCTACTGACTTTTTAGCCAAGCTGGTTGTTCACTCCTCGGATGCACCTATTGTAGTCTTCTCCTTCCCACCTCAACTTCATGCTATCCTTCTCAGAGACCTTAACGGCCCAACTTACTCTCGTGTAACAGCTTGATGCAATGGTCCCTATTAAAAAAAAAGGTAAATATGTTGTGTGTGAAAAAAAATACCTAGACTTACCTGCTACCTCAACGTTTGCCAAAAAAAAAAAAAGACACGTGGCATTATATATATAACATAAATTTACTTGACGTGTTAAATTTTACATTAAATATTGTCTTGACCTAAAACTTAGATTATATCACTTTTAATCATGTTTATAATATGTTCAAATGAATTGTAAGGTTTGATGTAGTCTAGAGGCATGAAAATTTGACAATGACATTTAAAATTTGCAATATGGTGTAATCAAAATTAAACCTACATTATGATATTCATATCAAATTTTTAGTATCGATAACAATTTTTTCAAACCTTATATTTGGTATTGGTATCATAATTTAGTATCTATAAATTAAATTGAGTATCAATATTGTAGTTCAACATCGATGCCTTATACATTGGTACTAGGAATGACAAAATAATATGAAACGGATGGATCTCAGTCTGACCTCATTGGAGTTTTTTTTTTCTTTCAAAATTCATATTCAAACGTTGATGTTAAATTTTAGGCACCATTCAAAAAAACTTTTACAAAAAAAAAAAAATCTTCTTTTTTCTCCTATCAGTTTTCAGACTTTGACGAATTCCTATCAATTATTTTTTAGAAATTCAGAAAGAGTCGTACGATTATATTGGATAACTGTTAATTGTTGCAGTGTGCGAGAAAGAGCGAAACCATCCACTTGTTTTGGACCATTATACCCCTTTCGCTTGTCTTATAAAAGAAAGACTCCTATTTGTTAATCTTAAAATCAAAACATTTGTATCTTTTTTTCTGTTTCTTTTCCTTTTTCTCTCCGACCTCTTTTAATTTTTTTCAATTTCTTCTACTTTGATAGTTTTTCTACCTTTCCTTTTCAATTGAAAAGAAAAGTCTTTATCAATTTTATCCTATATTCTTGAGCGTACGAAATTAGAAACACTATATTAATTTTAGACCACTATACCCTTTTCCTATAAAAGAAAGGCTCCTTTTATTTGTTAATCATAAAACCAAAGCATTGGCATCTTCTTCTCTGCTTCTCTCTCTTTTGTTTTGTATCCTCTTTCGATTTTTTTCAATTCCTTCTGTTTTAACGGTTCTCTTTATCTATCCTTGTTAATTGAAAAGTGTAAATCATTTCAAATTTTATTTTTCTTTTCTAGTGTACGGAATTAGAAACCCTATAATATCATTTGGGGATGTTTATTCATTTTCTTGATTACATAGATTAGAACAAAATATAAGGACATGGTTCTACCATGATACAATATTACTTAATTTATGTATTTTTTGTTACTTCATTATCTAATATTTATTATTGCTAATATATCTATTTTGCTGTAGTAATGTCTTTACAATGCCAATTCATGAAATTCTTCATTCGTTGACTAAGAATGCAGAGTTTCTCGGAGCATTGAAATTCTTGAATGTGTTTAATGCGATTTGAATCGATGTAATCGGTTCACATATTTAAATTATGATTGCGGTTAGGTTTATTATGGTTTCACTGATGGTATGATAGTCATGAATTTTTTTCGTAAAACATAATAATTATAATTATAAAAATATCTCTTTTAATTATTTTTAGTATATTTCTAGTTTCTAAAACTTATTATATTTATGTTGATTAAAAAAAATGAGTTAGATTTTTTTTTTTATAAATTTGACCATAACCGGAGAATAACAGAAATAACGATATGTTGATATCGCAATTGACATAGTGAGGTAGGAATACATAAATAACCAACATGTATAATTCTTTTTTACATTAAAAGAGGGGGGATAGTTCTATGATATCCACGTAACTTTATTGTTTGCTAGACCTTGTCTACTCATGTCCTTCAAGATCGAAATTCTCTGGTCGTGTTTGCTAAGTTTATACTTCATCCCTGTGTTTTGCCACATTGCAATCACCTTGCCATTGTGAACCGTCCATTAAAAACCCACTCATTTTTCTTTTAAACGTTTATCACATTTTGCTTGAAGGTAGTCAAGTACATATGCTTTAATTCTTGTTCACTGTAGAAATGTTTTATCAATTAGCATATACCTCAATTTTCTAAAGCTGATTTCTGTAAGAAAGAAAAAAAAATCTCAAAATTTGGGCATGAAACTAAATAATTACACCCTTTTTAAACAGTATACATCCCTACGTACCTTTTCATTATAGGTTACACAAGAAATTTCAGATTTCCCTACAAGCCACCAAAGTGAGTGTTGTAAAATGTAATTCCATTTCTTCATACATGGTTATTCTGTCAATGTTGACTTGTTTGGATCTTATGACTGTCCTATCATTTTACTCATCTTCTCCAGCACCCTTAACTTTTCCTTTGACCATTCTGCTGGCTGGGAAATGCAATCTAGCCATTAGAGGACGGGGTGCTCGTGATTTCTGGTCGAATCCCCGTACACAAACATACCCTGCAATTCATCATCAAACAGTATTAAAAAAGTGGGTGAGCCAGTGTGTTCACTATTGATAACTATTTTGTCTTTGGTATTTCGAGGGATGTCCTATTAATTTTGTAAATTGTGGAAAATACCTAAGGGACTACATTCTTTATTCGAGGATAAAGGGTTGTGTTCCTGAAGGGCTAGCTCGCTGTTAGTGTAAACAAGGTTGATTGGTTTAAGGCACTTTAATCTCTACTTCGGGCAAGATATTCAAAAAGGGTTGTTTGAGGCAGTTTAGTATCCATTTTGTCCCAGAAACTGAAAGAGGGCTACAATTGCATGATTCATATAGTCCAAGTGGAAGCCAAGGAGCGGTCCCAGTGGTAAAGGGTATGTTGTTCTCCCTAGGTGATCCTGGCTTAAGTAGCTTTGACTGCAGGTGTGTGTGATCTTATCACAATTTGAAACCAGAGATAGATACTACCTTCTAATCATCTTAGAACTGGTATGATCATTTCTTTCTGTTGGTTAGATGAAAACATGGACATGCTTTTGATCCAAATCTCAAGGCTTTTCTGGCGTCCTTGATGCCTCTGGAATTGGGGTTTCAAAAGATTTTGAGGGGTTGATGTAATGTTGTATGGTTCTAAAAAGTTCTAAAGTTTGGAGGTTTTATGTACACCTAAAGTTGGAACATGGTTACTTATGGGTAGCCATTCAAATCAGTGCAAACAGCTCGACATAAAGTTACAATGGTTCATAATTCTCACCTTTCCAGAAGCAGTGTTGAATTCCCTCTGTTGTTAAGCCTGGTTATAGAAAACATACTTCTCAGTTTTTTATCTTGCTATATTTAACAGCAAAATATTCTATTGAAACCTTCTAACCTTTAAATATTGAAGGTATGGAGGTCCCAAAGTAGACCATTCTCCTCGGCAGGTTCCATAGCCATTGTCTTGGAACGGCAATCGGGTTCAGACTAGATTCATGGTCGGCAAATACCTTGATAGAATTATTATTTTTCATATTAATGATTTTCTTAATAAATACAAAAACAACTATAAATCTTGAAGGAACTGATTCATCCAGCATGTTCAACTTACCTCATTTACTTGGAAATATGTGCCATTTAGGGGAAAGCTCCCTCTGATTGCTGTTCGACATGGTATCTGTTTATGATGTTTTATCATATAGGTTAGCATATGATGTTCTGAATTAAGATCCTGTAGTATTTGTCAAATCTATTTTCTTACCAAAAATGTTCCCCGGACAATCTGAGATTGTGCTTCCCGAATACTGTTGCAAGAGAAACATGTCTCCTCGTCACACAATTTGCCATCCTCTTGGGAATTGCACCTTCTTTCGGGCATTTGAATGGTGTTTGCCGTTTCACCTGGTGTAAACAAAATATTATGTCATCTCAAGAGTTCTAAAAGAGTTTATTATACCTTGTTATTAAATGATGTCCATACCTGGAGTCCAGATCGCAAGAAGGTACTTGCATGGGTCATCAGGTTCTCGTTTATCCAACTATAAGTTCACCATAAGCAACTCATAAAAGAAAAACTCAGTTATAGAAATATGGAAAAAATTCTAGGTCAAGTACGTAGTCAGAAACAACTAACCTCGTTTACAAGAGGGTGTGAATCTGGAAGTTCGTAGCTGTAGGATAGGATGGATTCAAGAAGTGTAGAAGGGGAAAAATGACAATTAGTATGAAATGACAATATATCTGATAAATGCCTCTATTTTTTAAGGTTGCATATCTTTCTTTAGCATACTTCACTTTATTATAGATTGGTTACTATAAGTACAATGGTATGATGGCCATATTATCGCTTTAAACATTTTGAATTTTAAAGTTAGTTTAAGAGATGAGACTTGAAATTCATACAATAATAATTTAAGCTAATTTCTGAGCAATTGTCTAAAACTAGTAAAACCAAGAGTATTTTTCATGAAATAATTAACTTCGGCTAAGTTTCTAAGACTTCAGAGATACAGAAGTGCCTACTTACACTTGATGCTCTGTTCTTAGCCGGTTGACATTCTTAAGTCTGGGCGTAGGAATAGATGCAGCTTCGGCTGTTAAAGCAACTAAAGCCTTTGACATGTCCCCTTCCTGAAGTTCCATGTTATTTTGCATATAATTCTGTAAAGTTTGGGAGAACTCTTCCATGTTCAGCTTGATTGTAGGAATTTCATCAGGGTCTTCAGAGAACATGTCCTCGATATCATTTTCTGCTACTTGTGTGCACTCAGGTTCTGGACTAACTGGCTCTTCAATGATAGGGTTGCATTTATTGACCCCGGATACTGGTTGTAATTGTCCATTTGCTTCAGGTGGACAGTTCGTATGAGCTAGTTCATTTGGCTGCGGTAAGGGCAGAGCCAGTTGATCAACGATCACAGCATGATTTTGATCAGATGTTCTGTTTTCGGTAGCACTGACAATGCTTTTCTCCTCAGGCCCTGGCAGAGCAAGCCTTGCACTGCATCAATATTTTATATGGGTAACTCAATTTGTCTACTGAAATGAATTTGGGGTTCTCTAAATAGTCACTGCTATTCTCTATTATCTTATTAGCAGAGCATGCTTAATGAAAATAATTAAATGAATATGTTGCAATAGCCCTAGGGATAAAAATACTGCTCATATCTGTATGGTCACTTCATATTCTCCAGTATTTTATGAGCAGAGCATGCTAAAGGAAATAAATAGGTTGGCAATTGCTCTATTCATGGAATTGCTGCTTATCTGAAAAACCACATATCTTGTGCTTGTTAAATTCTTATCTCCGTATGATGACTTCATATCTTGATTTCTTTGTATTTTCAGTTTATCATTTGTCTTCTTAGGGTGTGTTGTTTAATCTGAATTTTAGGATGAGTACAGAAACTGTTCTAGATGGTAACATACTGACACAAGTAGACCTTGCTTCACTGGAAGTACATTTAAAAAGTTAAATATTAAAATCTTTTACAATCAAACCTTGCAAATGCACTGGCAAAATGTCTGCATTCTCCTCTCATTGGACATGCATTGCAGTTTGGTTTCCCTTTTGTACAGAAAACCTGCATTAATCTCAGATAATGTTTTTGTTGTCAGAGTTAGATTATTGCTGGTCAGCAAACGGGAAGTAAATTTTTTCACTTTAAGCACATATAAAGCACACCTTTCCAAATGTGATCATCTGATAATGTAGCTCATACCTGTTCAATAGATAGTTTCATTAGTTAGCAAACATGAAGCTCCGATAAGAAATTTGTTTTGATTTCGGGGAAAATGCATTTGCTTGAGTCAAGTAATAAAGTGAAGTGGTTCTTTACAATGTTCTTTGATCCAGCTTGCATAGTCGAGGCCATAGATATTTTTGGATGGATTCCAGGATAGGATACCTAAGTAGGAAGAACAAATTCAGCAGATTTCTTGTAAAGTCAAAAGTGTATTGTTTATGTCTGAATTTGTAGCCTGGTAAATACTTACAGCTCTAGGAGATGCAATTGAAGGGACTCTGGCAGAGGTTGAAGGGGCACCCATCCCAATCTTACTGCTATGCGTCCAACATTTGTGTCAACCTGTTCAGCACATATGAAAGTTGAAATATGTTTTTTTTTCTCCCCATGGTTATTTACACAATAGATTAACTTACTGGAAAAGCGAGATGGTGAAGCGTCAAAAGTCGTACACACTCTACACTTTTTAGCCCAAGTCCTCTTATACTTAGCAGGTATTCTCTACAAAAAAAGCAAGTGAAAGGTTGAGAAGTAATGTTCTTTGATCTGGATATGCATGCAGCATACTAACACAATACAGGTAAAAAATGCTCTTGTGAATGCATTTAGGTACTCTATTGGTTCCTTTGGCTTACTTTGCTTTGTCTAGCGGAACATCCCTCAACCACTCCAGGTCAATGCTTCCATGATCTCTAACCAGTCGGTTTAGGAAATCCTGTGTGAACTCATTTAAAATCAGCTGTTATGCATTTAACTAACTGGTAAATTTGGTAATTCACCTTACAATGTTAAGTTTTACCTTTATTCTCTGAGCAAGCACATTATTCATCCCTCGCTCCTTAATTGTCTCAGCAATCTCATTAACTTCTGCACATCTCACTGCTTCCCAGTCTAGTGAGTCCATTGTTTTCTCTGTTTTCTCTCTTTTTCTTCCATTTGGTTCTGCCTGTTTTCTTAAGCTATCCCAGTCAAAATCCTCCTTTTTCACTTTCTTGACCTTTCTGCCTTCTGATTTTAAGCCCCCAACCATCGTATTGAGCGCCTTATTAGATGAAGAGCCATGTGTATGCAAGTTTGACTCTTGCATTTTCTGTTGTGGGGTACTTTGACTATCAAATGCAGTAGTGCTTTCTGTAATATCTAAGGTTTCTTCTGAATGTTTTGACACATTTACATGCCTCAACTTTTCTTTGTTTTGTGCATCAGGTTCAACAAGATCTATAGTTTCTTGAAGCGGTCCCTTTAGACTGTTGAAAACTCCCATCTCATCTGCTTGAATGTTGTTTCTTGATTGATTATTTTCAAGGGAAGATTGTCGGACCACCTGCGCACACATGGTTTTGTCATTTTGATCCATTCTTTGACATGCAGATTCTTCTGTTAAGGGACTTTGTCTTTCTATCATGTTCTCATCTTTTGTTTTAGAAGCCTCACATCCTGTTTCTTCTTTGAATGTCTCAAAGCGTCCAATTTCTCTTACTTCTGAATTTAGAATATGATATGTATGATAATTAGCTGACTTCATAAGGTCTTCCCCATTGAAGCTTTTAGGACCTTCGGAGTTGTCACAGGTTTCTCTCTGGAGATTCTGGAATTGGCTTGTTTTGACCTTTGAGATTTCATGAGTAGACATGTTTTGATGACTGTAAACTTCAGGCAACCTGGCAAATCCAACCATCTCTAAAAGCTGTACAAAAGAAGTAGAGCTATGCAAGATGTCAAACATTGGCTGCTTAGTATGATCACCCCCTTCTGAGTTGCTCTCTGAGCATGATCCTGTTCTTTCAGCAGTTTGAACCAATGAAAAGTCGACAGAGTTTTCAGATGAAATAACAGAATTTTGAGATGAGAGGACATCATTTGTCTCCTCGTCTCTTTTGTAACATTCACTTTTCCCCCTGATAGTTTCCATGTTCATTCTGTTTAAATTGGAGTCGCAATATGTACTCAATCCACTTCCAGAATAGTTCCACAGCTTGCAATTTGGATCATTTATTGAGCTTACAGTAGCAGTACTACTTCCAGACAATTCCTTGCTGTTGACAACCTCTTTTTCTTCAGAGTCTTGATACCCATCAACGGTCATCGAACTTTGGTCACCAACTCGTTGAATTGCCGTACTGTCTTCAGGCTCCAAAACATAGAACTCTGCTCCATTTACTAAGCTTGGTCCCTCTTCACGATAGAACTTGTCCTTACTTTTTGATTTGAGAGGAAAACGAGCGGCAAGAGACATAAATGCAGAACTGGCAAAGGTTGAAAGGAAGTTAAAATATTTTCTTTTACTGTTTAGGTCATTATATGTTCTTTGGGCCTTTACCTTACCTAGAAAGATGGTCAGAGACATTCTGGGTAAGAAATACTCCAACGACAGAGGTCAGGACTGATCCTTTCCATGGAGAGAAGCGTCTATCCCCTGCAGAAATGGTATTGTACTCTCATGAAGGGAACAAAGATATTAATTCAAGAAAGAGAGATAATGCTTTCTAAATTCTAATATATGAACAATAAACAAGTTAACTGAAATACATGTTATGGCAGATCTCTTCATACAGCGCTTCTTTAGAGAAATAATTTTTGTAATTTATGTTTTATAGAGAAATTTCCCCCTCAATTCCCTTTTTCTGATCACCACTATGTATAGAGTAGAACCCTTCTCTTTCCATATATATATATATATATATAAGCATTAAAGGTTAAATAGTGTCTTTTATAGAAATAATATTTACTGAAATCTCATTTTACAGCATGATAAACACTAGTATTCATTAAAATAATCCATCTTATTAAATGATTTACCAAATGCTTGTAAAATATTTCCTCTAGAGTGCTATCAAGGAAAATATTAGAAAACTATGTCACCTTGTACAAGGTGCATGCGTGCAATAAATGAGTCTGCACGTCCACTGAATACTCTCCTTTCTTCCTCCCACCATTCTGCCTTCTCTTCATCAGTTCCATCAATACCTTCACTATTGATATTTTCTAAGAGAAGCTTCCAAACTCTATTTGTTTCTTCATCCAGGTCGACCTTAGGACGTGGACGTCTTTTTCTAGTAGGGCCAAATGGTACAATGGTTCCATCTCTATAGACGACAAGTGCATTCTGCTCTTGTAATCTCATTGCATAAGGGACAAGTGCATTCTTCTCTTGATATGCAGTTGCACTACCTTCCCTATTGATGTCCAACTGGTTGAACCGTTCAAGAAGTGCATCAACAGAAAAATATTGTTTCCATATATCTTCTGGAGAGAAACCTGCATCAAGTTAATTATGAGTTAAAAGGCTTGGTGTATAGGGCAAATTACATAAAGATTTAAAAGTTTCTTGAAGAGATGAAGTTAGAACTTTATTGAAATACCTAATAAGGCAAGTTTCTTGTGCATTTTTGCTTCACTTGTGCTAGAGCATGCTGAATTTACACTGCCTTTTCTCTTCTTTGTTTGCTTTGTTTTTGCCAGTTTTGGTTGCATTTCTGTGACAAGGGCTTCTGTGCTTGCATGGGGTCTGCCTGTGTTTCTAAGTTCTTGTATGCCATAATCAACAGGTGACTGACTGCTGTGGCATTCTTGGTGCCTTATACTTTGTGCAATTATCGAAGCTAAATCTCGAGTCCCAGTGGTTCCTCTACTTCTCTTTTTCTTTGGACTCTCTGTTTGATTTGGAGCCATGATGCAATTAAAAGTTTGCAATTTATTCAGAGAAAAGGTTTTTCCTGCTTCAAATTCTGTTGAAACCTTACCGTGCATAAGTTCAGCCTTATCTGCAAGACTCTTTGCAGCAGTGACAAATGATGATACACTAGGTGGGGCAAAATTTTGTCCTTTCCCTGTTCTCTTTATCCTGTGTACTTCTGGAAATTTCATCCCTAGAATCGTCTGGTACGCAGAAAAACTGTTGTATTGACTCCCATATGAATTTATGGCAGTGGCGTCTGGTTGTTGAGTAGCCACTGACTTGTTTGCTTGTCCTCCCTCCAATAGCAAGCTGCTGCTGCACTTAGGGCCAATTGGGCTTCTTGCTGGTGATTCAGCATCAGATTCCACCGCAATTTGTTCGTTAATTTTTAGTCCATTATGGGCAGTGGCTTTACCTTTTCCTTTCCCGTTATTGAGTTTCTGGGGATGAATGCTTCGTCTTCTATGGGATGGATTATTCTTGACTGGAAGTGGTGTGCTTGGTGCTTGACCTTCAGGCAAAGATAAGTGGTCTTTCAGCATTTGATTTACTGGTTGGTTTCTTTCAAAGGAAGTGCCTGTTTGTGTCGTTTCTTCTGCCAGTTCAATTCTACCACAAAGCTGAATCGTGGACTTCGATTGACTTCCTTCTTTCCACAAGTTTTTTGTCGCTGGACTAGAAGTTAATTCGCAGGCAGGCTTACATGCAGAGGTTTCATCTCTTTCTTGCCCTTCTGTGTCAAAATCTAAGGCCCTTCTGCACGTTTTCTTATCATGATCGAGTGTTTCCAGATGAGTAGTCTCCTTTCCACTTTCTTCCTGTGTGGGAACCGTGGAGTCTTTATTGAGTCCTTTTCTTCGCACATACTTCCTCTTCCCTGTTGGTTTCTCTGCATTTGCTTCTCCTGGGAGGATTGATGTGTCTTCTTCTACTTTATTCTTTCGTACATATTTCCTCTTACCGGTGGGGTTTTCTTCAGGACCACTAACCTTTGGAGTCGCTGGCGTTCTAGGCGTTCTAGGCTTTCTAGGTTTGCCCTCAGTAATTACTTTGGGCCTGTGCTTTCTCTTCCTTTGTTTTGGCTGTGGTGTTGTAATTTCTATTTCAGCAAGATGGCTACCTCCATGTTCAGGATTCTGATTTTCCTTGATCTGTGTAGTTGTCAGGGAGGACTCTGAAACAGGCGTTTGGAGGTCTTTACTGCATTTAACTCCATCCACATCAACTCTAACATCTACCAGTGCATTTGGTGGTTCATCTCTCTTCTCAGATAAATTTCCAATTTCTGGAACCTCTTTCATTCCTCCTCTTGGGGCCTTTTCTGGTGTGATTGGAGCAAAGTCCGAGATGCTTGTCTGAGAACATGTCCCCCTTGCCCCAGCAGGCTGATTAAAGTCATAATCATATGGACTCTTAGGACGAATGACATCTGTAAACAATGTAAGTTTAATCATCATTAATGTGATTAAACTACAAAATTTTGAACTTGCAACATTTAATAACAAATGAGACATTTAGTGTATAAATTCCCGAGCAAATTGTTTGTCCAATAAGTTCCAGAAATTGTGTGCGTTCCGTTTCTAGTTTTAAGTAACTTGAAACGAAAATTTTATGCTTGGTAAAACAACCAATGCAGGAAAATGGAAGGGGGATGCTTGCTAGTCTAACATTTCCATTGCAATTGTTTCCATTGTTAATTTTTTATTTCAGTTTCGTATTCCTTGTCTTACACTAATTTTAACTCTCTCACACAACACACTGACAACTAGATGCCGCAATCGAAAAATATAAACTGCATAGTTAGGTGAACAACAAAAGTCTTGAACTTGATTCTTACTTTGATTTATTCTTGGTGCGCAAAAGCCATCAATCCTTATTTTTTCTTGAGCTGATAAATGTACATGCTCGGGGAAGAGTCTGGCAGCGCTACATTTGGTATGGTATCCGTTAATTTCCCCTGATTCCGCACTTGTAGATGCAGCTGAGGCCGCATCTGCGAGAGGCGATAAATATGCAGAAGAAACATTGCCGAGTGAAGTCGGGTCCAGGCGACATTGCTGAGGCCTGTTGGCATTACCCGAAATGCACTCCCTCCCAACTGAAGCTGCCCTCAAGTTATTAGCGATTCCATTTACTTCAACGAAACTTGGGGGATTGGAACATGCCATTACTTCATCAGTTTGAGGTTCTTGAGCAAACCCAAAAGAGCATCTTTCTGACTCTATACAATTTGCTGGAAACATCTGATCTTCCTTCATCACAGTGGTGGTTCCTGACCTTGTTTGCTTATTCTGTTTGCTCTTCAGCTAGATTCTCACTCGCCTGATAAAAACAGCTTGCATGTCCTTCACCAGTCTTCATAGCAGAAATCAAAATTTTCCAGAAATTTGCTCTAAGAAGTCCCTAAAAAACCCAGAATTCTTAAACCCATGAAAATGCTCCAATAAACAGCGCCTTAAACCGGCGGATCTCGAACAAATTTTATAGAATAAATATCAATTAGCTGCTGGATAAAAGATTTCAGTAACAGGGGAGAAAAATAAAATCTTAACAGATTCTTCCTGTAATTGTATTAACAAATACGATAAAATCGGAACAAAAAATCCTTGGAAAAAAATCTAAGAATTACCAGAAAAGTGTGTCACGGCCGGCGATCTGATTCAATCATTTTGAAGGCCGAGGAAATGAGAATAAAGTCGTTCCTTGAAGTAAGATAAAATAGGGAAAGATAAACCAAACAGAAAGACCATTTCATTCGTATAATATTTGTACATGTTATCTTTGAAACTTATAACTCTTTTTCTTGTTGTTTACCGTTATATTTTATGTTCAGTTATTATTAGCAGGATAGACCGATAGAGTTGGCGGGCTGTGTCCTCCTTAAAATTTTTAAATTTTCGTATAATTTAATTTTTTATTAGTAAATATATTATTATTTTTTAAAAAATTTATAAATTTGTTCTAACGTAATTTTTTAAATAATTTTAACTATTAAGTCTATTTTAAATAAAAAAAATATTTATTTATTTTTAAATATACAATAAGCATATTTTAATGTTTATAATTTTATAAATAATAATATTATATTAAATATTTATTCAAAATCGTCTATAATAAATTTGTATGATTAAAAATAAATAAAATTTATTCTAAAGAAACTTCTTTATTAAAAATTAATTTATATTTTATGCATAAAAATGTAATTATACTATTAAATTTGACTGTTAATGACCTCGTTTTCTTGTTTATTTTGTTAACATTCAAGTTTGGGGGTTTTACGAAAATAGAAGGGGTAAAGTCGTCCTATTGAGGCGGCCAATGACGACGGGATGTGAGGGCCCGAACACGTGATTGAACTAAAACTCAAAGAAGCGTACGTGGCGAGTGGTCCTTGATTCTTGGCACGTGAGAGCGTGTCAAAAGACGATATCAGACATTGAGTTGTTTAGACGCCGTTAAATAACTCTCTTTGGGGAAGATGCTTCTAATTAGAGATGTAATTGAGTAGAGTTGATTTCGAATATTTTTTAGTTCGACTCGTTTTGAAAATTTTAAAATAGAGTTCGATTTGATTCAAAAATTCATAAGCATAATTCTTAAATTCAACTCAAATTCGAAATTATGAGTTGAAACTAAAAAAAAAATCCGAAATTTGAAATGAAATAAAATAAAATTCTTAAACTTAAATCGATCGAAACTCAAACTCTAATTTAAACTTAAACCTTATACTATATATTTTTAAAAATGAACATATAAATATTAATATTATTAATAATTTAATTTTAAATAAATAAATTTTAATATATTTTTTTGAATTATTCATGAGTTTTTTAAATTATATATCAAGTAACTCATTTCGACTCTTTAAAGACTCTAATCGAGTTCAAATCAAATCAATTCAAATTAAATATTAATCTTTAACTAAATCAATCTTCAATAATTCATAATTTATCTCGTATAATTTACAATCTCATTTTTACGCGGAATTGAACCTTTTATAGCTTGTGTGATGATAGTGCCGTTTATTTAGGTTGGTCCTCGATAACGTCGTTTGTGGTCCCTTTGGGTGTAACTAAGGTGCACGCTTTCCAAAGAGTAAGTTGGTGATTTCTATGCAATTTTTATGATTCTCATCCTATGGTGAGGAAAGTTAATGAGTAGTAATGATTTGCAAACTACTTTTTTTGATAAGATTGAGAGTGATGCTTATATATTCATTCAAAATTTTGCATGATACATGCAGAAAGAATGTTGGTGTGTGTATTCTCACTTTAAATTTAAGATAAACTATCGGATTGATCAGTTCTTTTATATGTTTTTATTTTTTAAAATTTAAAAAGTCTATGTTTCATTCACTTACGGTGTTAATTTATTAAATTTTAATTATTCATATTATCGATTGTTATACTTTAATCATTTAATCGTTAATTCATACAGTGGTAGATCTAGAAATTTAGGAATAGGGTCCAAAATTTTATGACTAATTCTAGCAAATAATATTTCTGCTTCGAACAATGTTTTGATCTCACAAGCGCAAAGGACCTAGAGCAACACGATTATGTCATTACAACCTTTGACAAGCAAAAGGGGATATCGTTTTACTGGAAATCAAGAGAAGTTACCAAAAATCTCCATTTCACTATGTGAAATCATTTTTAAATGATTTCAATAAGTCATTTATGATATTAGATTAGATTTTTTTTTTGTTATTTAACGATTGTTCTTTTTTTGATATTTTTTAGGTCAGGTTTCCACATCGATCGCCTCACCATCATTCATAACTTGTTGGCTTTGCTTCACAACATCAGTTGAACTTACAAACAATCATTATTGTCCAACATCTTTTTTAATTCTAGACTGTCATTGTTGCAGCGTTAATAATACATCCACACAGTTATTGCAGCACGTCATATTCAACAACATTAGGGGAGTATTGTTGTCCATTCTCCAATGTTTTATTTTATTTTATTTTATTTGTAACATCCTAATCCAATCCAACCCAAAATCCAGTGGATTAGAACGTCACACAGGACCTCTCAAGTGGCTAACCATTTTTTTTGAAACCATTAACCATTTTGATATTCACCCATGATATAAAAACCATAATAAATACGTTTACAAAAAAAACATTATACCTCAAATATAGGGGAGCTCTCAACATCAGTCTCCAAATTATTCAAATACAAAATAACATAATTTACGACTCAATACATAAAAGGGGTATATGATAGTACATGCCCACCAAATACTCAAGACATACTCTGACATAAGGTCAGGTCTAGAATCCAAGTATGGTGATGATCTCCTCAGCTTGCACCTAAGAACATATGCACGAAAACACATTTCATACGCTAAGCTCACAAGTTGAGTGTCATATAAATAACCTTACTATACTACATGCATTCAACATATGAGCATGTTACGAGTATGGTTATGATCATTTGCATACACTCACACAACAACCAATGTAAGCATCATGGTGTAGTTCGAGGTCACTTAGCTCCACATAACTCACACCCCTATTTGATTACTTGAGAACATTAGGCGAGACCTGAGTCACACAACGTCAGTGTATCCCTATAATTCTAAGTCTGGGTTACATAGCATCGGAAAATCACTTGGTTAGTCTACTTCAATATAGTACTTGGGATTTTTCCAGGTCACATAGCACCGATGCAACATCCAACTAGCATCTAAAGTGCACCAACACTTAATTAGATATATCCAAATAATCCTTTTACTATCACAATATCATCAATTAAGTAACCCATGTTTCCTTGTTCCCCAAGCATCAACCAAAGGCAAGGCCTTATCGGTACTCCCCTTCTAGTGGTATTGATACTCTCCTGGGTATTGATACCAAACTTTCTCTCGACGTTTAGAACTTAGTCTCGATATCAGTACTCACTTTTGGAGTATCGATAATCACGCTTCTCAGTATCATTACTCGCCTAAGTACCAATACGAAAATTGCATTCGATGTTTTGAAAATACCCCAATATCGATACCAAAATTGTATTCGATGTTTTGAAAAAATACCCTAGTATCGATACCCCTATGAGGAGTATCGATACTACCCCTTTAGTATTGATACTCCCAAAATTAGCTATTGGAATCCGATTTGGGTCCCTGAGTATCGATATTAACCCCTGAGTATCGATACGTCATGAACATTATCGATACTCCTATGGAAATATCGATACTCCTCTCACAAAATCCATTTATTTTTCTCTTTCACGAAGGGCAGTAACGATATTTTTCTTATAGTACTGATACCTCAGCCCTAAAACTCTATTTTCTCTCGTGAAAATACTCCCAAATCACTCCTAAGGTTATTCTGAGGTCCCCAAAAGGTTATTAAGCTTATATATGATTAAAGGATCATGAAAGGTCTCTACTTTACACATAAATAACAACTTCCTATTTTCATTATTTAAACCCCCCAAAGTTCACCAAATGGCTCACACACACAAACAAGCAACAAAACTACATATGCTGATCTACAAGTGGTAGAGAAGGGTTAGAAATGTGTTACCTTTCACTTAGAAGTTGTAAGAACAACTTTAATCTCACCAAAGTGCTTTCTTCCCCTTACTTTGACCCTTTGATCTTTCACCCACTTCTTTCACTAAAACAAGCAATAGAATTGAGTTACTAACTCACTTAAGGGCTTAGAAATGTTAGGAATATGACTCTTAAGGTTTGAAAACGTTTTAGAGCCACACACAAGCTCTAAAATACATAACCTCCTAAAACCCAACCATAACCACCATGGCCAAACTCTATGGTTGAGAGCTTGATTTGAAGCTCTAGAAGAGATGATTTTAAAACTTACCTTCACAATCTCATACTAGGGATTGACACTAACAAGACTTCACCTTTGATATATGGAAGAGGATAAGAGAATAAAGAAATTTGAATGTGAAAAAGATAATAGTGAGGAAAAAGAGATGGAAGAGTTTCTTCCATTTTTGTGTATCCCCTGCTGTAACCTCATCTCACAATAAAGGGGATTAATCTTTGAATCAATTTAGGGGTGAATTATACCCCTAGTTTTTCTCCTTTTTGTACTCGCTTTAAAAGCACCCCTTTTAAGCTTTAATGGGCTCAAGCCCAACCAAAACAAGTTATATTTTAGCCCAACACTCTTGACAAGTTCTTTGGCTTAGTTAAAACTCACTTGAGTTTACCCTAAACTACTGACCCAAAAACTGAAGCGTTACATGATTTCTTATACATGCATTGAAGGCAATGCACATCTTAGGTTTGGGGGCGTGTTGTTCATTTTTGTTGTTCATTGTTATGTGTATTTGTCAAGTTCATGATTTGTGTTGTTCATTCGAGATTTCCATGATATTTATCTTGTCACAACTTAAATAAACAAATAATTCTCAAGTCTTTTCATTTACCTATGATGAGATAATTTTCGATAGCAATCTAATGCCAAGAATCTTAAGATTTATAGATAACTTGATATTACCTTAATGATTCTTCTGATGTTATCCTAAATGGTGTGCTTGGTTCATTTATGGGTATTTTGGAGAATATTTAATTGTCTTTCATATTTTTAAAAGAAAAAAAAGAAAAAAATTATAATCAATTCATTTTGTCCAAGTTCTATGTGAAATGCTAGAGGTGTCAAACTGGCTCTAGTCAAATAAATTGTTCACGATAAACTTTTAACTCTGGGACATTCCGCTACTAAGGAAAGTCTAGTACGCT